CGCGGTTTAATGAAAAATTTTGAATTTTTTCAACACAAAATATATGATCTATTTTACCCGCTAAATATTATCCGATGACCACCCAAATTGGTAGGCTTCTTCCCCGCCCTAAACTCTAGCTACATGCGAAATTCCGCGTCGATTGGTCTACAATTGCGACCTGTATAGCTACTGCAAAATCCGACATTTTTTCAGTATTTGGTCCATTTCAACCCCTAAATATTATGCGATCATCTCCAAAAGCAATAGGGTTCTATTCTGGCCCTACCCGCACCTCCATTCTAAATTTTGTGAAGATCGGGCCATAATTGCGACCTGTAGAGTGATTACAAATTAACATGGACAGACGGACAGACGGACAGACGGACAGACGGACAGACGGACGGACGGACATACATAGCTGGATCGACTCAGCTGGGCGAGATAGGAAGATCCATATAAACTTTCCTATGTGGGAAACGCATATTTCGAGGTGTTTCATAATTTTTGGCCCAATCAAACTTACAATACCCCCAACACATAGTGTTGTAGGGTATAAAGACTCCAAGAGGTACTGAGAGCATTTCTAAATATTCAACCCCTGTATATTTTTGTGCAGTTTCAGTCGTCGAGTAGTGCTCTGAGTCTTAGGAAAACGAACCGACACCGAATATAGATACGCTAGCACATCGGTACTGCGCCGGACTCACATTCAAATAGAACAGGACATACCGATTTCATATCTCCCGTCTTAGACTTCAGGTCGGCTGATATAATATTTCTTGAAGGCAACGAGTGGGAGCAGGGCGGACCAAAACCTGATAATTTCGTTATCTATACAAAAGGGTCGATGTTGGAAGAGGGAACAAGTGTTGATGTTTTTGCAGGGAGTTGGACATCAGAACCTTACTGATATCTGCAGAGTTATTCAAGCTAAGATATTCGCGATACTGAGGAAATGTCACAAAATATTACGGGATCAATAAAGTTCTACATACGTGGACGGCCAAGCTTCCCATTAGGTACTCATTTCTTTTCTATCAAATTCAGGGTTGTCAAGGAATGCAGATCTGTCATAGGAACTGTTGGCGGGGTCCTTGAGTCTTTGTGGTTACCAGGGCACTGCGATATTGTGGATAATCAGACAGTAGATGAGTTAGCACGGCGGGGCAAGCACTGCTCCGATATTAGCCGAGCGGACCGTGGTAAACCCCTACCCCAGTTTCTTAATTGAAAACAAAAACATGAACCTACTTTTCTCTGTAAGGCTAAGATCAGAATAGCCACTGGTCACTAGTCCATAGGATGCATGGGAGTAGGGTAATATTGTGTTCTGTAGGAGGAGACTAGAAGGAGATAGCGACTATAGAGCATCTTATCTGTCGATGCCCTAAGCTTTCAATCTGGAAGCACAAGTAAAGTAATCGCGCATCCCAATATTTATATTAACCCCAGCTTTGGTGTTAAGATGGAATATATCTGTCCACTCCTTCAAGTACCTCCCCCACAAATGGTCAAAATTTTGTATAATTATAACTCTCATAAAATGTACTTGTCTTCAAATTTCACAAATCCCAATCATTTTATTAGCCAAGGTCTTCTGTTAAGATGGAGTATATTGGTCCACTTCTTCTGGTACCTCCCCCACAAATGGTCGAAATTTTAAAAATATATATTTTCTGCCCAGAAAGGGAAGCAATAATCTAATTTTGAAAAACATAATACTCAAAGAAAGCGAAATAAGGATCCAACTCTCTTCAAATTTCACACATACAATAATTTTTGCTAACACCAGATCTGTTGTGAAGATGCTATATATCTGCGAACACCTTCTGGTACCTCACCCACAAAGGGACACAATTTTCAATATTTTTATCTATCATAAGCTGCGAAGCAACTCAGTGATTCTTTACAATTGCTATATCTATCTGTTATAATTTATTTATACCCTACAACACTATGTGTTGGGGGTATTATAAGTTTGATTGGGCCAAAAATTATGAAACACCTCGAAATATGCGTTTCCCACATAGGAAAGTATATATGGATCTTCCTATCTCGCCGAGCTGAGTCGATCCAGCTATGTATGTCCGTCCGTCCGTCTGTCCGTCTGTCCATGTTAATTTGTAATCACTCTACAGGTCGCAATTATGGCCCGATCTTCACAAAATTTAGAATGGAGGTGCGGGTAGGGCCAGAATAGAACCCTATTGCTTTTGGAGATGATCGCATAATATTTAGGGGTTGAAATGGACCAAATACTGAAAAAATGTCGGATTTTGCAGAAGCTATACAGGTCGCAATTTTAGACCAATCGACGCGGAATTTCGCATGTAGCTAGAGTTTAGGGCGGGGAAGAAGCCTACCAATTTGGGTGGTCATCGGATAATATTTAGCGGGTAAAATAGATCATATATTTTGTGTTGAAAAAATTCAAAATTTTTCATTAAACCGCGAATATTTTAAATCCCGGCGAAATCACAAATCCATGACAAGGTTACTTCTGATCTTTGCATTGATGTTAACATCCAACAAAACGGATATATAGCAAAATATGTGGGATATATATGTCTATCAAAGAATATATGCTTGAAAAATCTCTTATATGTCGAGAACGGCTGAACTGATTTCGACAGTTCTCATTAATTCAGAATGGCCTCTTGGCAGGAAAGAAACAACGTCTAAAAAAATCGCATAAAAATATCTCTCTAAAGATGAAAATATTGATTTTGTAAAATTTTCTCAAATTTTTTCCATTTTGTCATATTTTTGGCATATTTTCATTTTGAATTAAACATTTGGTAATATTTCTACAGCTAACAAAACTAAGTAGTTAGGATATCAGGATATCATATACAGATCGTATTTATGGCCCGATCCTTACGAAATTTTGCATGGAGATAAGATGAGGGTCAGAATAAAAGCCTATTCTTTTTGGAGATGATCGCCATATATTTAGGGGTTGAAATGGACCAAAAAACTGCAAAATTGTCAGCAGGTCGTAATTATCGCCCGACCCTCACCCACAACTTTTGTTGACAAAATACGAAAATGTCTATTCCAGTGACTTTTTGGAGAATTCACAAATACAGGAAAGACGCACTTCTGACTATTTCGTTAACGCTGATTTCGTTGAAGAATATAGTCAAATGTCTGTATCTCATATAGATGCGTTTCAGTCAAAAACCAATAATAAATGTTAATCTTTTGTCACTTCTGAGAGATTATAGGTCTTTGGGAAATATTGGTTCCAGATCTAGGAAGACCATTTAGGTGCAAAATATGCCAATTATTTGGAAATGAGCAAATTAGTTTAAGTTGTTATTATTCGAAAATTAGAGAACGAAACCTGATGGTTTTCTTTTATTATTTGTCACAAAATCTTGTGGAATTCTTTCGAGTATCTCACCTATATAAACTGTATTATTATAGTGTTGTAGGGTATTCAACGATCGGCCCCGCTCGACTGTAGCCTTTGCTTACTTGTTTTTTATATATAATTATTTTTATATATAATAATATTTATATCATATTTATTTAGGTGGGATACGAAATGGACAATATTGGCCGATTCTTTCAAAACCCACTCCATAGAGGGTGAAGAGGGCTGAGGGTATACATCTGTCGGCAAAACCGACCGATACTTTTTTACTTGTTTTATACAAAGTTTAGACCCATAATGAGAATGTACCTGAAGGAATGTGCTGAAAAAAACTAGGATGCACCTTTGCTTTCTATAAGGTACAATATTTTCTTAAAAGTTTTGACCTTATCTTTATAAGGGACAAAAAAGATCAGATTATTGTAAATAAGAAAGGTCCTGTTTGCATTTCCCAATAATAATCCTAACTTTTATAAAATCCGGAATTATTCTTCCCACATTTGATTGTTTCGAAAAGAATTTTTATGTTTAAAACTTAGTTTACTATAATGTGTAGTAGAAATATTATATTTAATATTTCACGTAAATGTGTGTGCAGTATTTAGATCTGAATATTATCCATGGTCCTATATTCCTACAAAATTATATATTCCAATAGAGTCTTCTAATTTAAAATAACAAGGATCTTGCTATAGAATACGATAAGTTACTTCCCATAAAACACCATATGACTATGACCATAGTTCTTCTAAGGATCTTAGCTGGTTTCCAATAGAGAATTATGATGCAGGCTAAAACAAGTCCTGGCCCATTCAATTCAAACATTTTCATTTCTTAAATTTTCTTAACAAAAACATGGCAGGAGGTCTACCATTGTAGCGGCAGTCACCTAAACTTCCATGTTAGAATGAGACAGCAAGCAACCCGTGTTTAGAAGAGGAAAATTAAAACCTCAACCTAACCCAACCCAAGCTAACCTCGGAATGTGACGAAATACTGTTTTTCCTATCTGATATTTGTGTGTGAAAAATCTTGTCGCGCCGTTGTTATATTGCTCAGCTCATTTTGGCAGGCGCCGTTGTCGTCGCCGAGGCTTAATGAGTCTCACTTAAAATGCAATTTTTTCTCATTTCCATTTCGAAAACACTGACTGGCTGTTTTCAGGTTGCGGTCTTGTTGTTGTTTTTGCTGTTATCCGTAATGTAATATCATGGCTGGACGGACGCTAACTGTGAGTTTTTGTATGACGGTGTTAATGCAATCATAAAAATCTATTTTTCTTTTCTAGCTGCTGCCTGTGCGCCGAGGATGCACTTAACCTCAAACAAGCAAAAACATAAATACATACATACACACTCGTATAACAGGGAACTATTTTCATTTGTGGTCGGTCAGGCAAATTGCCATGCCATTGTTAAGGCGCGATATTTTCCATGTTTCCACAAAAAAAAGAAAATTAGTAAAGCTGTGATCCTAAACAAAGTTTGCCTGGCGTCTCTGTCTAATAATCCTTAATTGATTTCCAAACAAACCGAAGCGGTAAGCGGAAAAGAAATAGCGCCATGTAAAAATAGAGTAAATGAGATCAAGCGCCAGAAGTTCGTGTACATAATATCGTCTACCTGAATGCTGAACTTACCTTCCACTTTTCGTTATTATCATTTCCGTTCCAATTTGATGAAATTGTTTCCATAATTCGTCGTTTTGCAATTGGACATCGACTCCGGGCAGAGTAACTCGTGGTGGCATTATAACATGTCGTGGCAGAGGGATGTGCATCATCGGTGGAAAGGGATCTGAAATCAAATTTAAAGGAGATTTTAATATATTGTATCAAATGATTGAAAAATAATTAATAAAAGGTTTGGAAAATATTTCCTTGGTGTCACCACGAATCGGTCTCCACTCAATTGTCTACAACGAGGTCTCAGGATATTTCTAAAAGGATATTTATTTAAAAGGCAAGTTAAATTGGCTAGAGATGATACCATGTAATAGCCAATATTACAAAATTTGCACTAAAAATCCTGAGCTTGTCACGAATAAGCTGTTTTGAGTAGAGATGTACATACACTTGTTTATACCCTCCACCATAGCATGAAGGGTATATTGCGTTTGTCTTTTCGTTCATAACACTTCGAAATATAAATATTAGACCACACAAAGTGTATATATTCTAGATCAGCATAAAATTCTATGTCGATTTAGTGATGTTCACCCGCCTGTCTGTCTGACTGTCCGGATATCGAAATCACTCTAGATCCGGACGAAATGAAGTAGTTTGATACAATTTTACTCAGTTGTGTGTTTGGTCTGCTGGACTTTTGGTATTCAAAATGGGCTGTATAGGTCCACATTTTGGTATAGCCCCCATATAACTTTATCGACAGATTTAAGAGCTTTGGGATGTTCTAGTCACAATTTAAACTCAAAATAAGCTGTAAATTGCCAGCATATGTTCCCATTATGTAAGAAACATCCCTGGGTTTGGTATAGGTCCCATATAACGGTACCTCCAGCTATTCGGTAATTTGATGATTTGCGTCACACTTTTCACCGGAAATGTTTCAAATTTGGAATTTAAAGTTCCTAATGGGTACTACACCCTATAACCGAAAATGGAGATCACGCCTTGGTATAGCCCTCATATAGCGGTATCTCCCAAAATTCTGTATTTAGACGTTTTTGCGACATTTTTAACGGAATTGTTTCAAGGTTCGTATTTGAATAAAATTGCCTATTCTGGTCCATATCTTCATATCCTTATAGTTGGTATTTTTTTCAATTTTGGCAGTATTTTCCAACAGATGGTAAAGGGTACTCATAGTTCGACCCGACCAAACTTACTTTCCCTTTTTATACCCTACACCACAAGGTGATCAGGGTATTATGTCTTTGTGCATTTGTTTGTAACAGGCAAAAGGAAACGAGATAGACCCATAGTTCCTTTTGATGATCTGCATAGAATCACATTCTGAGTCGATTTATGCATGTCCGTCCGTACAGACGGATCGCATTTATAGCCCTATCCAGATGAAATTTTGCACAAATCATTTGTTTGGCCCAAGGACGAACCCTATTGAAATTGGAGATAATCGGTCAACATTTAGATATAGCTCCCATATATATCTTCGTCCGATTTGCCTTTTATTGTGCACCAAACGTGTAATATCAGTCCGAATAGTATGGAATTGTGCACGTACGATCAGATTGGACCTGAAAATGAAAATATATACTTTGATCGAAATCGGTTCAGATATAGCTATAGCTTCCATATATATTGTTCATCCGATTTGTTATTTTCGTCCTCCGCAGCCGTAATATGCACTCTGTAACAACAATATTTGGGGAAATATATCAAATACAGCTCAGAAATACATTTGCTAAGATTTATCGAGATCGGTTGTGGTGTAGGGTATTATAAAGTCGGCCCCGCCCGACTTTAAGACTTTCTTTACTGGTTTATTCTTTCTTAACCTTTTATTGAGCTTACAGTTGACACATTTAAAAGAGTATAGAAACTGATGGTTCGTTCCAAAATTCCCCTATGGTTCGTTCCTAAATTCGCTATGTTTTGTCTGACAGCTATTTTAACAGTTTAAAGTGACGTCTCTACTCAGTTTTTTTTTTTGGAAAATCAAAACGAATAGGTTAACTTCAGAACAACGCTTCGCAATCGTGGAAATTTATTTTCAACTTCGTAAAAGTTATGCTGCACAAAATGGACCACTGGACCACCATAAAGAACTTAATTACCGAATTTCGGTATACATTCACTCTTTTGAATGCCAAGCCAGCGAAAAGAATGAAGGAGTGAGTGATTACAGAAGAAAATATTGCTGTCGTTGAGGCTAGTGGCGAAGAAAATGGCAATCTATCGATTTGTGCGCAAGAAGTTGGATGCATCGATTTTATGGAACATTTTCCGTAAGGATCATTCCATTCAAAATTCAATTGGTGCAGGAATGGAAGCCACATGAGCATCAAATGCGCCCTGAATTCAGTTCACTTAATCAAGTAGACGAATATGTTGTTTTCGAATGGTGGATGCTGGACCGAAGACCAATATTTCGAGTCGTTACGAGCTTCTGCTCCAAAACAAAGTTATAACCGGAGTGGAATTTTTTGCAAGACTACGCAAACCTAAAAGATAACCAAATCTGCAAATGCCATAGCATACCCTACAACACTTCAATTTGCGGTAAAGTTTCCGCGGATCTGAAAACATTTTGACTGAAGAATGAATAGACATCCCCGTAACTACTATATAATAAAAGCAAATGTAATTGTTCCTCTTTTCGAATAATCATCAAAAATCTCTAAAAAATCATCGGTATTTTACGAAGCAGATGTTCCTACTACGTCAAATACCCAATTCGCTCTTTCGGAAGAACAGAAATTTCAAATTCATGTATTTGTGATTTCTATAATTTTGGTATTTTTTAACACCAAATTGTGGTCCGCTAAATATTAGCAGATGGCCATCCAAAATGATATGCTTCAGCGCTGTCCTAAACTCTAGCTTCATAAAAAATTCCATGTCCATTGGTTCTAAGTTGATAACTGTAGAGCGACTAAAAAATCTAGACAATTTTTAGGTTTTTGGTCCAACCCTAACTGTTTTGAGAAAATCTTCGAAAACAATAGGCATTATGATAACCTACACCGCTTTGCTAATTTAGTAGAGCTCCGCATAACAATTAAAAGTTTTTATAGTAGAATCAAATCCTACACGCTATGATTATAAATATAATTCAAAGTTCAAAGGACTAAATATGCCGAAGCATTTGTATCTTTTAAATTCGGACTTGTATTGCCCATTTGGTGCACAAAAGGAACTATATCCAAATCGGAAATTTGGCAAAGATATTTCTGAGCTGTATTTGATATATTTCCCTGAATATCGTTGTTACGGAGTGCATATTACGGCTGTGGGTAACAAATGCAACAAATCGAATGAACAATATATATGGGAGCAATAGCTATATCTGAACCGATCTTCACCAAATTTGACATACTAGACTCAATTCGGTCGTAAGTGCTAAATTTCATCTCAATTGGGCAAATATAAGACGTTTGGTGCACAATAAAAGGTAAATCGGACGAAGTTATATATGGGAGCTATATCCAAATCTGAACCGATCTCGATAATATAAATTCTAAATTTTGGCCGGTTACGAGACAGACCCATAGTTCCTATCATGATGTGTATAGAGTTACATTCTGAGTCCATTTATTCATGTCCGTCCGTCCGTCTGACCAAGTATAGGTCGCATATATCGCCCGATCGAGATGAAATTTTGTACAAATCATTAATTTGGACCAAGGACAAACCCTATTGAAATTGGAGGTAATCTATCAAAATTTGATAAAGCATCCATATATATCTTTGTCCGATTTGCTATTTGAAGTTTGTCAGAAAGAAGTTTGTAAAATTTGATGAAAATTGGTTCAGATATGGCTTTAGCGCCAATAAATTTGTTCATCCGATTTATTATTTTGCCCTCCGCAGCTGCAATATGCACTCCGTAATAACGATATTTGGGGAAATTTATCAAATACTCCGTAACAACGATATTCGGGGAAATATATAAAATACAGCTCAGATATACCTTTGCCAAATTTTATCAAGATCAGTTCAGATTTGGATATAGCTTACATACATATATATCTTTACTCGATTTCAAGTTTTTTGTACACCAAATGTTTAATATAAGCCCCAATTCAATGGATTATAGCACATACGAAAGAACTGAGCATCAAAGAAAGTGTATTAAATTTGGTGAAAATCGGTTAAGATGTAGCTATAGGTCTCATATATATGTTTCATTAGATTTTGTATTTAAGTCCCTTACACCCGTACAATGCTCTGACAGCTATACACAATAACAATATTTGATCTCAGCTATCAGATACATCATATAAATTCCTCTGCTTAATTTTATAGAGATCGGTTCAGGTTTGGATATAGCTCCTATATATATCTTCATCTGATTACACGTTTATTGTGCATAAGAAGCGTAATATCTTTTTAAATAGCAAGGTTCAGATACAAATATCTAGGTCAAATTTAGTAGAAATGAAGAGGAGGATATACATCACATATGTATATAAATTGCTTTCGGTTTATATTATAACTGATTCAAAGCCATAATACCCATTCAAAAACTATCATAGTTTATATGATTTAATTTTCATAAATTCCCCATAAAAACGTTTATTTGTTATATGTAGCTCTACTAAATATGAAAAGTGGTGTAGGGTATCATAAAGTCGGCCCGCCCTACTTTTGGCTTTTCTCTACATGAATACATGACCTTTTTGGTCTAATTGAATCACTAAATATTGAATAATATTTAGACATATTTAACCATCGAAATTGGTAGACTTCTGTCCTGTCCTAAACTAAAAATTAAGAGTTTTTCTGTTCCTGGACCATATCACCCCTGCATATTTTGCGATCATCCCCCCAACAATATGTAGACTTCTATTCTGATCTTAACTCCACCTCCATTTTCAATTTCGTGAGGATTGGACCATAATTGCGACATGTAGCGTGATTCCAATTCAACATGGACAGACGGACGAACATACATGCTACATCGACACAGCTCGGTGAGATGGGAAAATCCACATAAAACATCCTATCTCTTGGATCAGTATTTCGAGGTGTTCCATAATTCCCTTTCCAACCGAACATATAATACTTATAATGTCTGCCGACTACTCGGACATACCGAATTAATGGCGCACTTTCCCTATCATGTTTTATTGCGCATTAGGTATCCTTCGATTCAATCTAGCTGTTTTAAAGCAATAAAATAATGTTATTTTTGAAACACCTTTACAGCGCAAAAGCTGCCGACGGCATTGCAAAAGTTCTATGGAGGCAAGAAAAAAATAGGTAGATAATGCTTAAAGGAAACCCCACTCACCTGGTATACGTTGCATGATCTGTTGGCGATAGATTTCATGGGCAATGTGTTGTTGCATACGCAAATCCACCAGTTCGTTCATGGTAATCATTGTGCTTTTGTATCTCCCTGTTTTGTTCGCTTTTTATAACAATTATGAATGATGATGTCTTTGTTGTTGCACTTCGTTAATACCTTTTATTTTTTTCGTTTTTAATTGCAGACAGGTTATAATGGAAATTTATCGCTAGGCACGATCACAAAACACGAAGTCCGACATAGTCAATTACAACAGTTGTTGTTATTAGAGTTTAGGTGATTGTTGTATTTATTATTATTGTTGTTGTTAAGTAGTGAACACGTCTTCTATGATGCTGATGATGATGATGATGACGACAACGACATGATAACGAATGCAAAAAAATGCGAACCGGCGTTGGCGTTAAACGGAAGTGTTACATTTATCACCAATACTTTAGCATGATTACACAACGCAAAGCAACGTGTTTTTTTTCCTTTTCTTTAAAAATTTTTTTAATAATCAGCAACAATTTTATTATTGTTGAGATAGTGTGAACTTGTTTTTTGTATAATAATTTATGCAAATTGAAAACAAATTATTCAAATGTGTCAAATTTGCTTTTCTTGTTTTGTAAGCGAAGAAGAAAAAAACTTTATCCAGCTTTTGAGTGGGTGCTAATTGGATTAGATCTAAGCGATAACTATGTGGAATTGAGGTACCGCAGCTTTAAAGTTTCCATAACACGCTGCATTGCTACCGACGGTCTAACACAGCTTCAGATGGCTCGACTACACGTTCGCATACAGTTGGAGTGAGAGAGAGTAATTCACGATCGCCAATGAGCATGGATCCGCTTGCTGGCTTAACAAAGTTTGTAGTTCAACTGAATATCGTTTTTTTTTTTCGTTTTACGTTTGTCACAAAAAATTATACGTTTCAGTGAATGAGAACGGCGACGGCAGCCACGATGAGAAGTGACGATCGTTTTCGTGGTAGCAGTCGTCGCAGCAACCACCACACACAACATCGGCTTAAGAGTAAAAATAAAAAAAAAACACACAAAAAATCGAAAGAAAAAACAAATCGATTTTTAAGTTGATAGTCGTCATCATCTTCCTCATCAACATTATCAATGGAGACACTGGAAGATGGATGAATGAGGCATCTTTTGTCTGGAGAAAATTTACCTGCTATTGTTTTTTTGCTCTTCTTATAAGATCGCATCGATTTTGTTTCATTGTTGTTATTACATTTACTACAGTGGCGGCATTTGAACACTTGTGATTGGTTGAAATTGTAATGAGCAGAGAGTTGTTTCTCATTCTCTCTCTCTTCGTTTTAACCAACCAACTCACCACCCTCTCTCACATTCCCACAAAGTAACAGAACAACAATACAAAACAACAGAAGCCAATGCAGCTGTTATCAACTCACAGTATTGTTGATATGGACTTATGCTCTCCATCTCTCTTTTGCTCACATTCTTCCCCAGCCTTGTTGCTTGTATTGCTCACTGCAGAGCTGCTGCTTTCCACAATGATTCTCCATTTTGAAAATCACACTCGTCGCAATGAAGTGCTGATCTTAACGCTTGTGGCTGTTGACTTCCAACACGCTTCTGTTGAATTTTTAGCCCCTCCTTCGGCAAGTGTGAGCGTATATTTGACGGAGTATCACGTTATTTTTGTGCTCTGCGTCCGTAACACTGTATGCGTATAATTTTTTCGTGAGTTTTAACGCTCAATAATGTTAGCTGTTAAGTTTTTCTTTGTGTTTTTGTTTCGTTTTTTTTTTTTTTTTCGAAAATACCAGGGTTCAGTTGGTTTGATGGGCATTAATACTGTCAGCTGGTCAAATGAGCGGCAGATGAATTGTTCGTTTTTTTTTGTTTCTGAAAAAATGTACTGTCGATTATTAATTCTGCCATTTTGGAAGATGTAGTGATGTTTAGGTAAAAAATCTACTCATTTGGAATAAAAAGAATATATTTGCTTCAAATATGTCAGTCATCTTTGTGTAAAATTTCGCTAAGAATATTTGACTTTTACTAGTAAAAATTATTTTTTTTATTCTTAAGAAAAAAATTTGTGGGGGAGTCAAATTAAAAAAAATGATATCGTGAAACATGAAATACCTGTCAAAAGATCTTTTTAGACAAATATTTTATTGCAAAATATTTATAATTTTACAATTTTTTCTGGGACATACAGATTAAGTATTTCACTAAAGTCGGCATGTGGTTGAAAACATGCATTTGGATGTTATAACTAACCAAAAATGGAAATAAAAAAATTGTGAAATAAATACTTTAAAATATTATAAATTAACAAATAAAATAATTTCGGAGTGTTTATCCGTTATTAGGATCTCTTAACTTCAAAAATAAGTTTGGCAGACATGTCGACCATAAAATCAGTCCTAAGGTCGGAATATTTATAAAAAAGAGGAATTTTTAATTTAATGGAGAGAGGTGCCGACTACTGGCATAAATCACTATTTTAATTAAATTTTAAATTCTACAAATTTAATAAAAAAAAACAAGTAAAAAAGTATCTGTCGGTTTTTCCGACCAATGTTCGATTATTTAAAAATAGTTTGACTTCCGTTATGGTTATTAAAATCTTTCACCCCTTATGCAGTTGCTTCCGAAGGAATTGTCCAATATTGACCATTTTGTATCGGACCTAAATAAATATGATATAGATATTGGAACGTGCTAGGTTTGGACTGTGTTGCGTTGATGGAAATATTGGGATGTATCAAGTCTTGAATGGAATCGGATGTCAATTTCGCTTTTTTGAGCTTCATTTTGAGCATTTGTGGGGAGGTACCTGCTGAGATGGACCGATATATCCCATCTTCACAACGGATGTTTTGTTGGTGGAAATAATGGGATGTGTGAAATATAAAGAGAACCTGATGCTTATTTCGGATTTTATAAACGTTTTGATTATTCAAAACTTTGACTCTTTGTGGGGGAGGTACCAAAAGGAATGGTCCTGTGTTGCTAGAAATATTTAGATGTGCCAAGTTTAAATGGAATCCGATCCAATGTAGGTCTAAGTTTTGATAGTCCCCATATAACTTTACCTCCAAATATTCGGTATTCTGATGATTTGTGTCACACTTTTCACCGGAAATGTTTTAAATTTGGAATTTGAAGTTCCTAATGGATACTACATACATTGGTCAACGTCTTCGTATAGCGTGGTACCTCCATATATTCGATATTTTTAATAACCGGAATTGTTTAAAATTTCGCATTTTAAGTTCGTAATGGGTGCTACATCCTATGACACAAAATTGCAAATGCAGGCCCAGATCTTCGGATAACCCCCATATAACGCTACCTCCCTATATTCCGTATTTTGATGATTTTAGCGACTTTATTAACCGGAATTGTTCCAAATTTCGTATTTTAAGCTCATAATGGGTGCTATAGCCTGTGACGGAAAATTGCATTTGCAGGTCATTGTCTTCGTATGGGCCCCCATATAATGGTACCTCCATATATTCATATATTTTTATGATTTTAACAGTAATTTTCAACGGAGTTTTTTTTTTTTTCAAAATTTCCTATTTTTTCCAAATGGTAGAGAGTATTCAAAGTTCGGGTTGGTCGAACTTACTGTTTTTTTATTGTTTTTTATTTAAGAATACTATATTGTACATCGTCATATACAAATTAGATAAATAAATACGTTATTTGTTTAAATTGTGCCTAATAGTGGATAAACACTGCCAAAACCTTTTCTAAGAATATGTATTGTCTCGCTCGTACTGAAGGATTCTCACTGATAAAAACGTAAAATTCTATAGAATAAATCATCTTTTCTCAACGGAATTTTACGCAAAGATAGCTGACAATATCTTCAGAAGAAATAAATATTTTTTCTGTTTAATTATAAAAAATTAGAAGATAATAGCTGAATGCGTTTATATAATAAGACGTTTAACCATTTGTTTATATTATTGGACTTTTGGGATATACTAACAAATTATTTTAATCATTCCTACAACTTGATCCTACAATGAAGGTGGTCTTTCGTCCTGTACAACTACCAATTGGTGAAAGGAAACATATGCTACGCCGCCATCATCCCTAAAATTTGTTGCATTTTTAAATACACGCAATTTACCTCTCTCTCTCTTTTCCCTTTTTTCACCGTTTTATTTCGATATCCTCTTGCCTGCTGTTGTCGATCGTTTAGTTGATTTCTTAATGGCGTTTTTTACACTCGTATTCGTGTGTTTTTCCGTTTTTGCTCTATCACAAAACATTTGTTCGGCCTGCATTCTGGTTTCACTCCATAGCTGGCTGGATGGCTGTCTGGCTGGCGGCAGTGCCAATTGGCTTCGTCACGTTACAGCAGGTGGAATCATAAATGTTTATGATCCGATCATGGTGAAAACAGGCTCGATTGTGGGGATGGCATAACCCAAAGATGGCTGGCATTAAGTGGCAATTAATCCGATAGACATGGCCAAGAGAGTGTTTAAAATTTCACTATTTACTGTGAAAATTGTATGCAATGAACAAATTTTTTGACACAGCCGTATTTCAAAGTGTTCTGTTTCGTTTTTTATTTTGCCTCACACTGACTTGGATAGGGATGAATGTAGGTATGTATGAACACGATAGGGGAATAGTTGATAGGTTGATCTTTTAGTTTGATAAATTGACAGATGTTTATAGGTAGTTGTTGCTTTAATACTAGAGATTAAGTATGAAATGTTTGTTGCCTTCCAGCGTTTTAAAATAACGAATATTTAAGAAAATATAAAATAAAAGCTTAAACTATTTAAATTTGTATTTAAATGCTTTGATTGGCTTTTTTAATTTTTAAGTGCCTATTTCACAAAGAAAAGATTGAAAGACATTAATTTCGGGGCCGAACTTCTAACATCCTCCATCATTCGGTATAGAAAAAATTGTTATGCAAAAGTATTTGGATTCAAATGCGTTCCACATTAAACTACAAACTCTAGTAAGATCGCTGGGAGAAAATAGTTAGAATTTTCAAGGACAATATAATGATTGGAGCTGTTATATGAGGGCCATACTAAAACGGGGGTCTAAATAGACAATTTTATACTACAACGATTGTAATCTATTGCTAGTCTTAAATACCAAATCTGACATAATTTCGAGGGTAAATGAGATTAGGATTATCAAACTACGGAATATTGATCTATATATCCAATATAAAATACCGAACCATGGAATGGAAACCGTTGACCAATATACACAATATTTTAACACCGGTTGTAGAACCCATTATGAAGTACAAATATCAAATTTAACACAAATCTATTAGAAAATGTGCGATAAATTGTGAAAATTCCGAAAATCCGAAGGAATCGTTATATGATTGCTATAGGAAAACTTAAATCTAGATATTCAATGTTCCTCCACCGAAGTTCGAACTCCTTACGAACTACAAATACCAATTTTTAGACAATTCCGTCGAAAAATTCGGCAAAAATCATCAAAATGCATCGGTAGGTACAGTTATATGGGGGCTATACGAAAACGTGGACCTATATAACCCTTGTTCTGCCACCGGAGCTAAGACCCATTTCGAACCACAAAGACCAATTTTTAGACAAATCCGTGGAAAATGTGGCTAAACCCATCAAACACCGAATATCGGGAGATATCGTTATAGAATTTTATGCTGATCATGAAGATATGTTTAATGCATAATCTATAACGGAAATTACTGAAACTGAAGTAATGCTTCAGAAAATTCTATGTCAAAACTCTGTTGACAACATTGTGGTTTCTAAAATTTATATATATATATATATAAAGGAGTAGTGAAATAAGTGACAGACCTAGAATTAACGCCCAGAGCAAACAGCGGAAGCTAGAATATTGAAATTTTGCACGAGTGTCCGGCTTGGTTATGTAGACGTGTGATAAGACTGGTTTTCGCACTCAAAGGCTACGAAAAGTACTAAAATCTACTAGAAAGTTAATACTTTGTATTGGACAAACGGAATCAGCTAGGATTATGAAATTTAGAATGGGGGCCACTAATGGCATTCAGGATAGATGTACCAGAGGGTTTTTGGAAATTAG